CATCTCCCCAGCCCCTGTTTCAGTCTTTATAACAGATTTGGTCTGCCATTCAAGCAGGATCTTTGAGCTTCATAGCACCAGAGAAGGGGGTGAGGGGCATATTCAACAAGGAAAAAAATGACTTTTTTCATGGCTTGCCAGGCAGACAGTTGTGCTGCTGAGCTATATTTTCAGCCCCCCAAATTATCATGTGTTACAGACTGTTTAACTCTTTGCAGTGGGCACAGGGAGGGTTTGGAGTGTTGTCATTTTCACTCCATTCTTCCATATTTATGTAGTGATACCTATCATTAACTGCATTTAATCATCTGACATGCATTATGTGCCTACTCTGAGTTAGGAATTTGGGATAGAAAAATAGGCAGGACAAGCTCTCCAGCCTCAGAGCTGATGTAGTTATGGTGATTGTGAACATGTAATAAAAATCAAGAAGATAAATTTGGAGAGTCACACCATAAAATAGGATGGTGTGATTGGAAGGAATGAAGTTTATCTTATTAGACAGTGAAAATGATTTCTATAGTAAGAACTGATGAAAGAAAACAAGAATCCAGCCTTGAGAAATTAAGAAATTGTATTTTAGGTGGAGGAAAAAGTAGTGCAAGGTCACGGATAGGGGATGTTCTTAACAAGTTTTAAGAATTCAGTGAGGGTCTTTTGGTGTGTGTGTGTGTGTGTGTGTGTGTGTGTGGCATAGGGGATTGAACTCAGAACCTTGCACTTGCCAGGCAAACACTTATTCTGAGCTATCTCCCTGGCTCTAAAATGTATGTACCTGCATGTAGATATATGCAGCCTGCTCTTGGATTCCTATGGGAAGGAAGTAGCCATTCCATTCCATCTTGGAATCTTTGAGGGGAACATTTTCATTGCTCTTCAGCTCTCTGTAGCCCATGTTTCTCTTAAGTGTTTGTAGCTAATGAGAGAAAACTTGGGAAATATATATATATATATATATATATATATATATTTTATTCCCAGTACCGCTCTTAATGTTGGTGTTGAAAAAAGAATGCCTCCATTTTCATTTCATCTAACTAGTATATCTTTAAAGGATTTATTGTTGTGCTTAAGTTTCATGAGATAAATTACTTCCTGAACAGTGGAAACGTGGCAGTTTAGTAGAATAGCAAGAAGCCAGCTAACTCTCAGTAAACCTCATAAAGCTGTTAACTTAAGATACTTTTCACCTGTGGGTTATGGAAACTTTCCTTTTGAGGAGTTATGCTTTTAATTATTATTATGTTTTTTGCATTAAGTAAGCAAATCTGCTGTAGTTTGGTTTCTTGTAGGCAGAATAAATTTTTTAGTAGCTAAGGCAAATTTTTCTGCTTGATAAAATAGTTTCTCCTGACATTTATTTGTAATACATTGTTCTACCTGTTGTTGTAGGCTGCTGTGATTAGACATATTTAGCCATTCTAAGCCTATGTTTTCTTTATAAAAATTGGGACTTACCTCATGGAGTGTTATGAGAATTTAATGCAGTTATGTATGTAAAGTACATAACTACAGGACAAGCTACTTGTTAGTATGACATTATTTTATTTGTTTATTTTTTTGGCGGAACGGGAGATTGAACTCAGGCCCTTGAGCTTGCCAAGCAAGCACTTGTTCTACTGAGTTATCTCCCCAGCCCCTAGTATGACATTATTAATGTGTTTTCTTTCACATGATTGACTTAAAAGAAGAGAGCAGAATTCTGTGATCCTAGGGCTGGCCAGATAGCTCAGTGGACTAAAGCACCTGCTTAGGCAGAGCGCAGCGGCTGAGGTTTGATCCCTGATGTGCTGTACCAGCCTCACCCCCGGCGCTTGCTGAGATGGCCATTGAGACTGGGTGCGTTTGCACATGCCTATACCAGTGCTTGGGAGGCTGAAAACAGGAGAGTCAGTACGAGTCCCATCTGCGTAGTGAGACCCTGTAGACCCTATAGACCCTGTCCTAAATACATAAAAAAAGAAAAAGAATTCTGTGATTCTTAGCTGGTGTAGATATCACTCAGAACCCAAGCAGGAAGAGACTAGGTGCTTTGGGGAAGGTCTTACATTTCTATAATTTGCTCCAAGCTGAGAAGGTAATACTAACTTTCATGTAAGGAATGAATTGATCAAGTCATTTCTAAAAATGATTTTTCTCCAACTTAATTCTGTAAGAAGTAAAGCAGGGAAAGGAAGTGTGCTGCTTTTCCCTGACCCTGTCAAGCTAGTCAGGTAAAGCTTGATAGTCTATTGTAGTTATTAATTAATATGTTAATGTTTCCATTTGCATAGGCTATCTGGGAGCTCTTCTTCACAGGGTCTGTGCCCTTCTCTAGAGGGTGGTATCTGTCTGTTCCTTCTGGAAGCCAGGAGTGTGTGAGTGAGCTGTGGGCTTTGAGTTACCTCACAGCTGAGGGAGAGGTCAGAACAGGCAAGTTTCTAACATACCACACTCCTTGATTTGTCACTCCATTCCAGCTATTTTGAGAAGAGAAGATTTAGACATTGTAACACACACGTGCACACACACACACACACACACACACGCATGCACACACACGGAGTGGGAGGGGGAGACAACCAGCAAAAACAACCAGGTTTGTGTAATGGCAATATGGTGTGGAATTTATTGTGCCTGGGTGCAGGTAGACAGAAAGTGAAAAGACCGTTTATAGGGAACAAAGAGAAGTGCCCCTTTTATAGGGATGGAAAAAAGGCAGGGCACGTTAGGTAGGAAGATTTAATAAACATTTGTGGTCAAAGTTCTTCCTTATTGGGCAGAGTCCTTGAAGGCCCGGTGTAAAGTTTGGGATGTCTCCAGTTGTCCCAGGACCTACAAAATTCCTTGTCCGTCTTCTTTAGGACGCCTTGTGCCTGCTGATGACAGCTTCAGTGCTGAGCTGAGTTCCTTGCTGATAGTGGTGCCTTTGCTGGCAAGCAGGTTGGGGGCTGGGGGAATCAGGTCTGATTAGAACCTTACTGACATATGTAACAAATGGAGGCATTTTCTCTTGTTTGGTTAAGAATAAGAGAGTGAGAGAACAGAGAGCTGCCTCTTGCTTCTGGTAAAGTGATTGAAAAATGGTTAGTGTTTGTGCTTGAGGTAATCAAATAGAATGTGTGTTGATAAATTCAAATACTGTGTTTTCTCACACATGTTTACTCACATCAGGATGCACTGTCTTTATAACAGTTTTTAAGTATCTCAAATTTTTATATGCTTTTATTTAAAGTCAGTTAGAAGATAAACATTTTTTGGTTCAAGAAAACAGAGTACATACATGTGAGTCCCCTGGACTTTTTAAAAGTGGCAGTAATAAATGTGTGACACATTGCAGCTGAAGATGGTGTCAGTGAACCTGCATTACAGGCAGAAGCATCTCCCCAGCCCTTGAGCTCACTTTTGTAGCTGAGGCTGGTCTCAAACTTGCAATGATCCTCCTGCCTCAGCCTCCTGAGTGCTGAGAATACAGTGTGTGCCATCACACCCAGCTTTCCCTTTAGCATTTCTTTCAGGATTGGTGGTAATGAATTTTCTCATTAGTCCTTATTTTCCTCCATTTTATTTATTTATTTATTGTGTGTGTGTGGCCAGCTCAGCCCACCAGGGGGCGGGGCTGGCTGGCATGTGGTGCTGGGGGATTGAACCGCGGTCCCTTTGTTTTTGCTAAGCTTGTTCTAAGTAGGTGCTTTAGACCACTGAGCCATCTTTTCAGCCCCTCCTCTTGTCTTCTGAGGCAGACTTTTTCTTTTTGGTCTTTGGCACTTTAAAGATCTCCACTCTATTGTGTGACTTGTATATTTTTTCATGAGAAGTTTGCTGTTCATTTGTATGTGGCATGTCTCTGGCTCTGGCCAGCTTCAAAATTTTTCAGAAATTTGTGATGTCTAAAGTGAGTATGTGAGTGGCATGTGTGCGTGCTGCTTGGATTCCCTGAGAGCAGTAGTTGAATGCCTTTTATTATTTTTGGAAAATTCTAAAATTATTTCTTGAAATATTTTTCTACTCTTTTTCTCTCTTGCTTTTTTTATTTGTAAAATTCCAGTCAAATGTATATCCGATAATTCATTACCATGCTACAGTTCTTTGATGTTGTATTTGTTTGCTCTTTATGATTCAGTTTGGGTTTTACTAAGGGATGTAACTTTCACTGATTCTTTAGTTGTGTTGAGCATACTGATACAGATATTTTTCATCTATTATGATTTTTAAAAATTTATTTTTTAATTTTTAAAAAAGTCTTGTTTATTTGATACAGGGTCTTGCTACACAGTGTGGACACATAGTGATCCTTCTGTCTCAGCCTGCTCAGCCCTGGGATTATAAGTATGCACCACCACACCTGGTTGCAGTACTGGGGATTGAACCCGGGTTTTTATGCTTGCCAGGCAGGTGTTTAGATCGCTGAGCTATCTCCTCAGCCTGCAGTAATAGTATTTTAACCTGCCTACCCATGTGTGCCAGTTATTAAGCAGATATACCTAATTATTGAATGTGTTTATTGTTATTCATAAAATACTTTAACAAGTTAAAATAGCTTTTAGCAGATGTGGGATAAGAAGTACAAAAACCACCTGGGCATATACCTGAAATCCCAGCACTCAGGAGGCTGAGGCAGGAGGACTGCCACGAGTTCAAGACCAGTCTGAACTACATAGCAAGACCCTGTCTCAAAAAACTAAAAAAAAAAAAAAAAAAGTACAAAAACTCGTCAAATAAGTTTTGCCTGTAAATTGTTATAACCAGATATTGTATTAGTAATATATATCAAAGAAAAATTTTTTTAAGTGTTATGATTTGTGTCTAGGTGTCTCCCCAAAGCCTCATGCTGTCTTGGGGTGACTTCTGGAGTTTGTGATAGATTATTGTGGATGCAGGTGCTGCACCTGCCCTGGGGTAGGTCATCTGCATTACAGTGTAAGGTGGGATGAGAAACCAGCTGCTTGGGCTGCTGCTACTCCTCCTTTCTTGCTCTTGCTCTATGCTACCTCCATGAAAAGTTGCTTTCTTTCTTTCTTTTTTTTGGTGGAACCGGGGATTGAACTCAGGCCGTTGCACTTGCCAGGGAAGCGCTTCTTCCACTGAGCCATCTCCCCAGCCCCGAAAAGTTGCTTTCTGGTATGTGCTACTCTGCCTTGGACCCAGCTGAATACGAACTGAAACCTCTAGTAACTGGGCTAAATAAACCTTTCCTTCCTTCAATTTGGGTGTCAGGTATTTGTCTCAGCAAAACGAGAAAAGAGTAACTTGAGACAAAAAGGTTGCTTATTTGTTAAGTATTAGAATACAGGGCTGGGAGATAGCTCAATAGGCTAAGCGCCTGCCTGGCAAGCACAAGGACCCAGGTTCCATTGTCGGTACTGCATGCCATACTGGCCCCAAACTGAGCCAGCCACCAAAGCTGGGCATGGTGGTACACACCTGTAATCCCAGTGCTGGGGAGGCTGAGACAGGAGGATCACACAAGTCTAAGCTGCCTAGCAAGACCTTGTACCAAATGAATAGACAAATAAAAGTTTAAAAACAGTAATAATAATATACTATTACTGTTAATCACTGTTTTACTTGCCAAGTTGCACAAGTAACTAGTAATGTCTAGTACATGCAGGCTTAAATTCCCTGGTTGTGGGTGGTGGAAGCGAGCAGAGTTAGCAGCACACTGCGCCTTCTGCCTGTGTCTCTGCTCTCGCTTGTACTCTGTGCTCAAGTACTGCATGACCCAGTCATGAAAAACAGGGCTAGAAATCATGTAGTAGTGTTAAAAGTTCACGACCGTGGGCTGTTTCGCTAAATGTTCAGGACCGCCTGTGGCTGGTGGACCACACGAGTTAGACATTCTGTGTTTAGATATATGTAAGAATACTAATAGAATTGTGTGATTAAATTTTGTTAGGACCTGTATGTGAAGACCTAAATTCTACTGCTGATACAGTATTATTAAAAATAGATTAGTGACTTTTGCTCCCAAGGAGAACAGATTTAGTTTTGTAAACATGCTTATTGCTTTTAATAAGAATAAATAAAAAGTACTGCTACTGGTACTAATGGCAAAGCCTCAAACTTGTTGTTTACTATGTGTCACAGTAAACACTCAATAAATTAGCACTTACATGAAGTGCTTTGGTGCAGTTTGTCTCTGGTGAATTATGTCCCTTCCATCCCTGGTGACTCTAGGGTGGTGTTTAGCACAACTCCCTGTCCTCAGTGCTCCTATTGACAGCACACTGTTGCTGGTGACTCTTTAGACTGGAGATAGAGTCTCATGGGGTTTGAGAAACTTAATTCTTGGCAGGCCACGGTCCTTGTAAACACTCAGACTATGTTACCATCCAGGAAGAGTTTACTTACAGAACAAGCGGTGCCCTAATAAACATATTCGCCCATACCTGGACCCTTTGGCTCTCAGGTCGGGCTTGTGAGGAGGGAGGACCTCAGGAACTTTTCTGGTCTTTTTCTTTGCTTTTCACAATACTCTCTTTTTAAAAAAATTAATTAATTAATTAATTTATTGTGTGTGTGTGTGTGTGTCCAGGTGTGTCCAGCTCAGCCCGCCTGGGGGCGGGGCTGGCTGGCATGTGGTGCTGGGGGATTGAACCGCGGTCCATGTGCTTTGCTAAGTTTGTTCTAAGTAGGTGCTTTAGACCACTAAGCCATCTCACCAGCCCCTTCACAATACTCTTATAGTATAGTAGACACTATATCTGTGTCAGAGAAAAGAAATTGAGGATTAGAAATAAGTAATTTACTCGGTGTCTCACGTCTTTAAGAGAGAGAAACAGCTTTTAAGGCAGTTATATTGTGGCATACTTTGCCATGCAATGACAGTAGCCCTATCTGAACCTATAAGGGATGACATTTCTAATTTGGTGGTGCATTTTGTATCGAGCTTATTTTAGTTTTGAACAGAAAATACCATCTTCAACCAATATCTGTATTAAGCAGTTACTAGGCCTTGGATTATGTCTTATGTTGGTGGACCTTAAATATCCTGAACTAAGAACTAAACACTGGAATTAAACCTAAACAGTGAGCCCATTTGCTTTTGTTAGCATTCACTTTCCTTTTCTCTCAGGTTTAAAAACAGATTTTGTGTAGATGACAGATAAGAGAACATTAGTAATAGAGAACTAGCAATACTGTAGGTTAGTGATGCGAAGTGCAGCCTTGCCCATTGGGCTTTTCTGAAACTGATTGGAAGCTCAAATTGTTCCTATTCTGTGGGATTTCAAAAATTGTAAACAGGAATATAGGTGAAAGTGTGAGTGGATAGTGATGGTATGCAGACGTGCAGTTTGTTGATTAAATCTTGGGTCTGATTTGTTAATTTTGTAGGCAGGTCAAGCTTTGCTGTTAGATCCTGAGGAGAATAAGCTACTTTTAGTACACAGGTTTTCCTTTTTCTGATGGTAGTTCAATAAGAGATACAAGTGAGAAAAGTGTGTGTGCATTGGTATAGATTGACCACCATTAGAAAGCTAACTAAAAAATTGTACCTTACTAATAGTACTTGGAGAATAGCATTTAATGTAGAGAGAGCCTAGTTAAGAGTGTTAGTGTTGGGGCCAGGAAAATGGCTCAGTAGAATAAGCACTTCCCTGGCAAGTGTAAGGGTCCGAGTTCAATCCCTGGTTCTGCAAAAAAAAAAAAAAAAAAAAGTGTTAGTGTCATATGGCATTGGTTAAGCTTATATGATTTAATGGAAATACTGCTTTTTCAAACCATTGAGGTGGAAGCTCAGTCTTGAGTTATAGAGAATTTTCAAGTTGCTTAAATGTTTTATGGGTTTCTTTTTTCAAGCTCCCAATTGAAGACTCATGCAGCTTAACTTCCCAGTCGCTGCCCATTGACCTGACTTCGATAGTGCCTGAATCGACAGAAGACATTCTCTTGAAGGGTTTCACTTCTTTAGGAATGGAAGAAGAAAGAATTGAGACTGCACAGCAGGTGAGTGGCAATATCCTTTCTAAAGATACTACATTGTTGTAGATGTCTCAGGACAGGCTAATAAAAAGGGTTCTAAATAAAAGTCTGAAATTGGATACCATAGTGATTATCAAATCTCTCTAGAACATTCTTGATTTGTGTTAGTTGAAGATTTTTTTTTTTTGTATTCAGTGTAGGGTCTACAGGGTCTCACTACATAAATCGGACTTGTAGTGATCCTCCTGTTTT